GAACCCTTCCTTTTTTAAAGTCGATTAAAAGGGAACGTTTTTCGGATTTAAATCACGTGTACCTATGTAATTTTGAAACAAAATCACGGTTTTTTAAAATTTTATCACAATAGCTGACATGGCGAGCACCGTGACGTCACATTTTTCGTCATTGCTAGCGCCGCGACCAATGACTGCAAAAGATTAACACAGCACCAAATATGGCTGTAATGTCGCAGTTGACTTTAAAACATTTTGAGCGTTCTGCACAGTAATTTTATCAACGTAAAAATTGAGCACGGCGAACGAGATAAAAAAAAATAAAAACAAACAAATTGATATATACAAATTATTGGAAAAAGGTGAGGAGAACATTTTTAATACAGTTCAATATATGAGAGTAATTACAAATACGCAAGGCATAACTAATATAATATAAAATATGTAAACAGAAACTACAAAAACCCAACAATAGTTTTCGCGGCGATGATTAAACGACAAAGATATATACGCAATATTTTTAATGTAATATCTAGTGACGGGGTGCAGTGCCATCCAGAGCTTTAAATCGTAAAGATCTGAGGGGCACTGCCACTGCGCCCGTCATCCTGATTAATAAGTTAACAAGTATCATATGCCTGTAACTTCACCAGCACCCGCACCCTTCAAAAATGCTGATATGAAGGTTGCACTTCCCTGGACGGACTCTTTCCGAAGGACTTTTACTTAAAATCGTACCTAAAAGTACATAAAGACGATAAAAGACGTTACAAACTTGATGAACTCACATTAGGCCTTTGTGGACGAAGGCCTTCTTAATTAAATACCCGTCTCAAAGGGTACCTACTTTATACAAAGGACCAATTCCGAATAGTATATATACGTTTATTTACTTAACATGTATCTAAAATAATGACTAAAATTACTTTCGATGTTCAAAAGGTCTCTTACATCATTCAGTCCGACATATAGAGTACTTATTATTTATTTATTTATTAATTAAAGGACATCCAACAGCATACATTTAGAACTTAAAAAATAATGTTACATGAGCAGTGCATAATGCCAATTAGAGGATATCACAAAAGCTTAGTAATATTATGACGCGACATTGTGAGTTTCTCTACAATTATTTATAAAATAAAATTTAAAATTTGAAAAGAACAATTAAAAAATTCATAAAATATTACAGCAAAAACCATTTCAAATAAAAATAACAATATTAATTATATAATTAGTAGTAATAAAAATTAGCTAAAACCTGATGGTGGACAAATTACTCTTCTAATTTGTTGCTTAAATGAATGCCTACTATGCGAAAAAATGTCAATGGCACTAAGACTTATTGTACGTGGTTGTAAGACGAGAAACGATCTCGTTCTGGCCATAGTTAGTACGACTAGGTGGAACGTAGAAAACCTTATGAATTGAGCTACGGGGTTGATGATAGGGCACAACAAGGCGAAACAGTGATACGAGAGAAGGGCAATCAAGGCGAGCATTAACAACAATTGGTAATTTTGGTAACAATTGGTTTTTCTGTGATAGTTGCTTTAATAATTTACAATTAGGTCATATTATTACAATAATAGGTTCGTGTTGAGGATCAGTATATAATATAGCCTAGTTCTAATGACTGTTTTAGAATAATTACGTACTGTTTTAAAATTCAATTTCGCTTTTAATATATTTAATAAGTTTAAGTTTTAAATTGATTTCAAAACAGACGTTAAAACCTAAACATTCATACCTGAAAAATTTTTCGAAATGGCGCTTTCGCCCATTCCACAAACCATTCGATAATGTGTACCTACTACCTAACAAAATTATTCAAATTACTTTCTATGACGAATATAAGGTTATTTTGTTTTATTTACTAAGAGCGGTGTTATAAAGATTTTTATAAAGAAAAGAAGAAAAAATAACATTAGAAAAATTGTCATTGTGCATGTTGTTATTTATATTACCCTACCCAATTTTACTCATCTAATTTATTTCATGTCCTGTTTGATTAATATAATATTAACAAGTGATTAATTTTTACTGGTTTTTAATGTCGTCGATTTCTGATCTTATGCAGAGATACAGACAACTTTTGCATAATTATAACTTCCATATTCCTTCAACGTAAAGTCCAAATTCGCAACTTTACTAGATAACGTTTTAATGCGTCAAACACTCCCGGACACAATTCGTGCCACCTTGCATTTTTTTTTCTAAAAGCGTCTAGAATACTTTAGGTACCAGAACCACACCAATCGCCTGGTCTCAAACTAGGAAATCCCCTGTACAATGAGCACCAAAGCAACTTCATTCCCTCAAAGACTCTTTCAAGAACACTCAGATCAAAACCAGTTTAGGAAGTTTCAATTCTCAATCAAACCCGGGACCTGCTCATCCAGCGTCCACAGTAAAAAGCCTTGGGCCACCGAGATCGGGTCGTATAATTAATGTTATCATCTAAGAAAGCGTAAACCCCGGCACAAATTTAAATTTTCGACAAGGACTTTTCGTCAGTATTGGGCAGTTGTGCAGAATGGGCGAAACTGCCATTTCGAAAAAAAAAATAACAAATTTATTCAATAAAATAATTTGTAAAACTTAATGTAGCGTAAATTGGAATGTTTTCTTTGTAAAATTAAAAATAAGGTATTTAATTAATAACTATTGTAACAATAGTGAAAAAATAGGGTGGTTTGCATTAATATTAGACATAACTGGATGAAGACTGTACCACCTCAGTCAACCGTGACCATGGGACCTGTAAAGGGCCCGAAGCGTCGGTTTGTTTGAAAAAACAAATATACGCGATTTAAATCCGGAAAAATAGTTTCATTTCCTATGTGTAACAATCGCGAAAACCTAAGAACTCGATAAATTTATACAATTTAAAGTTCTGAGTGGCACTGTAACTGTTATGGACAGGCGTGTAATTTATCATCAGGCGCACGACTTGTTCGTCCCGTCACTTGATATTATAAAAAAAATAATTGTGTCGTGTAATATTATTTAATAATTACTAGATAATATACTTGAAGATTTAAATAATAAAACTTGCCACGAAAATTAGATAGTGAACGCTAATCCGATAATTATCGAATGAACACAGAACACAGAACACATGTGCATTTTGGTAGCTTTAGAGATATTGACACCTGAACTTGTTTTATAGTAGAAATTGATTGACTGATTTTTAACGATAAAACTGAAACTAAATAAGATATTAAAAAAAAGATTAGAGGGGGTTGTAGATCTCGATTCACTGATTCTAGATAATTTAACAACTCACTTTTGCAAAAAATGTCGTTTACGTTACTTATGGTAACGAGTGCAGTACAATAATATTTGAAGAATCGTAGGTTTTGATATTTTGATTATAAAGATTTAGAATTTCGAAAGTATTTATATCACTATAATCAATGGTTATTAATATAGTACAAAGTTAATGCTAATAACAAACTATGGACCTTTCTGTGTCTGACAATAAAAACAATATATTTTTAACTGACTTTTTTTTGCATGTATGTCACACGATTACTTCGGGGTTTGTGAACCGATTTTAATGAATTTTTTTGTTGGAAAGAGGGTATCTCAGTATTGGTCGCATAAATTTGTAGAAAATATTCCACCTCTAAGGGTGGCAAACTAGGGGATCAATCCGGTATCGCGCACATTCCGGTAACCGATGTCAGTAAAACTTGGCAAATAGACGTAATTCCAGAAAGTTTTGAGGTCTTTGTTTTATAAAACAGTTATGTAATAAAATAATTATTGTATTCCATTCATAACAGATCTAAGTAAAAGCCGCAGTAGAGCTCAGTGTGAAAGAAGTTCGTCCAGAGAAGTACTGTTGTCTTACCAATCTCTACCGCCAAGCAGTAATGTTAGCATTACTGCGTTCCGGTTTTGATGGGTAAGGGTGCTGGTGAAATTACACACACATGGGACTTGTCAATTTATGTCTCAGGTTGAGGCCTCAGATTTTTGCGATTTAGTGCTCCGAGTGACACTGCAACTGTTACGGACGGTTCGTTCGTCCCGTCATTTGATATTATAAAAAAGCGATTTATGATAAAAATTATCTATTTTTGTTTCTTACAATAGACAACGTAGGTGGAGTTGATAATATGTTTTTAAATTGTTAGCATGTAATGCATATAATAAAGAGACTGAATTATCACGCCTTGAGTATAATATACCGACATTAACCGCCCGGATAAACGAATATGCAGCAAATATATTTTTTCATTTTTATAAACATCAATCTGAAATAAAATTGACGTTATATACGTTCAATTTCCATACAACAACCGACCTCATTGAACGTGAAAACCAGCCTGAAGTTCAGGGTGAAATCTTGTGTGGTTTGACAATTGGTCCCTCTTGACACCCTCTTAGACCTCATCTCTACTGCCCACTTATCCTTTCACTTGAACGCCAGTTTCACAATCTGACTTTGTGAAGTCAGATTTTAAATATTTTCGAAAATCATAAAATTTGAAACAGGCAATGGTTTTCAAAATATAACGATTTCACATTCCACTCTGAACAAGCTCATCCACCAAGAGAGGAAAAAAGAAAGAAAGAAAAATTTATTCGTATATTCAAAATAATATTTCAAAGATCAACTTAGAAACAAAAAAATTAAAGATAATAGTCGAAAATTGCTAGCCAACTCAGCTTTATGCTGGGCAATGCCTCAACACTGTTTTTTTTAGCCGGAGCCTGAGAGGAGGCTGAATAAAATAACAAAACCACTAAATCTAGTGAAAAACGAGAATATAATTACAATTGTACCTACAAAAAAATGTTCATCACAATCTCTAGATAATAATTATAATGACCGATAAATGATAGAACAATTTTAAATGAGATGGAAGCTGTCGCCGTTTATCAGTCGCATTAATGTTATTTCTTTATTTTTTTCGGAACCCAGGTACAGAAACTATTAAAATAGACTCGTGAACCACCACAACCTACAACGAAGTGTTTCGTAGTAAACGTGAAACGCAATCACTTACCGTATATCATAGAAACGAACAGAAGCACAGCATTCAGAAAATACGATGTTCTTTTCAACTTCATACTACCAGCCATATTGTTTAATTTTATTATATTCCTTATTATAACACTAAAACTTTAATTTGACACTTTTCCTTTTCATTGTCACAACGAATTACTATTTTTTATTTCTATTTATTAGTTTATTACTTCCTAATAGCTGTAAGAACTTAATTTCATAATTTAGAACTCCGTTATAATAAACATGTCAACGTTTACTTTCGACCCTAATTAACCCGTTGACAAATCTCGACGTTTAAAAGAATGTTATCCCTTATAATAAACACACCCCACTTATGCTATTTTTATTTCATACGGCCGTTACTAATAAATCGTTCCCAGTGTACATATCAGATTTAACTTCACAGATAAGGTGTAACATAGCTTTGAAAACAAAAATAGATTACTTGTTTAACTTTGAAAATTATTTTGGCACATAATTTTTTTAAATTTACACATAAACCTATGTCACCGTCATTTTTTACTCAAACAAGTTCAAGCACACACTTAAATTGTCACAGTTGGTTAAAATTTGAACCGGAATAATAGGAGTCGGCATTTTCGATATTATTTCCGAGAGCGTTGGAACACACGTCCAACACCGGCAATGAACGAAAAAGCACTAACTTACATAAGGGATTTACCCCGCACCATTAGAGTATGTGCGAGAAAGAGACGAGAGAACTATTCCCGAGGGTTGCGGGTTGCGTGAAGTCTAAACAAAAAGAGACAGAAGATAATTTCGTTGAAACGCCTGGAATCTTGTATGAAGCGGCAATTATATACAAATCTGAAAGAGATACGTTTCTGCCTAACACGTAAAAGTTAATAAGTGTTTAATGTAGCAGCAAATAAAACGATGGGGATCATAACGAAGCTGTAATTAAAATTTAATTTTAAATATAATGTAATAGAGTGAGAAATACCATGGAAAATGTAATAGGCTGTATTAAATCTGTTTAATATACGCTTGTTAACATGAAAGGAATTGCGCACACCAATTTAGCTCAAAGAACTGATAAATGATCAAGATGTTCGTGAGTAGCAATCACGAGACTGAAAACGTAATATAAAATTAATCTTATGTAGACAAACCTTAATGCGGCAATAGCTTGTTGCTAGAAAGGGTACTTCTCAATTAAAAGTTGAATTTGTGGTTGACCGTGTGTGACGACATGTACCTGTGACTCTAGTTTACAAGTATTATTCAAATCCTTTATTATCAGACAATTATAGTCCATAATATTATACAGAATTATACAAGTAGGTAGGTACACATTTCATTATACCCATGTTCACCAGATCATAAAAACACAAATCGAGTGCAGTCTCTTATAATTGGGCAGTGAATCTGCAAAAACAATTAGGGTTCAACAATGAAGCAACTCTCTGTCTGAGAATGGCATGGAAACCATATGAATGATGCTTCGTGAACATGCCTGCCTGTCATCAGATTATGTATATATACCTAAGTAAAGTAGGTTTGTGAAAGTTTATTAGAAATACCTCTTATTAATGGTGAAGAAAAAACGTCGTGATACCTGCATGTTGAAGATGGTACACAAATTTTGGAAAACGTATTAAATCTCCAACCTACAATGGGTCAGGGTCTGCTTTGGCAGCCGCGAGGAGGTCGACGATGTGGCCCGTTTTGTCGGGATCCCGGGGAAGGGGACGTCATCGCTCTTTCCAGGTGCTGTAGGGTTCGAGTACCCGAATAGGCCACCATGAAATTTTAGCCGGCACAAGTCATCTTCTTCTCCTGCTGCCTCCGCGGCAGAAAGGTATCCATGAGAATATCCCGGCGAAAAAATGTTTACCTTCGAGAGTGCTTAGTAATGGAACGTGTATTGGGGTTGATGATGTCAATCTTATTACTATATGTAACTTTGAGAAAGTCTAAGAAAAGCACAGAAGATACGTATCAAAGATGTAGAAGAAATTTAATTACGTAAGCAACAATTAAAAAGAGAATTTGTTTAGTCGTTGTTGCCACGATCTCGAAGAAAAATAACCTAGTAATAGCAAATAATGGAATAAACACAATCGAATTACGGAGACGATTAAGCGTCTGCCACCCGCTGATTGTATTTTTGAAGCGATGACACCTTTTTGTAAGCTTAGACAATTCTTCATAAATACCATTGTCTATGAAAACAGGGCCGTGTTCAAGCAACCAATACCATTTCATTGTTTTAACAAAGCGAAGTGCAAATGTTAAAATAATGAGTTGCTATTGGTTGACGAAACACATAATTGAAACAAATTTTAACTCAATTTTTTTTTGCTTTAGACTTTAATTTACTACGAACCGTAACGGGTAACGGGTTAAAAATAGAGCAGGAAAAGGGAATCTTTATCGTCATGTATACTACCACTCGTACCTCGTACGGTACGGGTCTCCTCACGAAGCGATGGTTTAGACCATACTCTGCCACATTGGACCAATGCGGGTTGGAAACTTTACACGTTTTCCGAAGATTGTGAACCTTCTTCGGCGTATAGGTTTCATCACGATATTTTCCTTCACCGAAAAGCTCATTGTAAATTTCAAATTAAATTTCGTACAAGTTCCGAGAAACTCAGAGGTGCAAGTCCGACTTCGAAACCACGGCCTCTTGAGATGTGGTAGGTCAAGCCTACTTATTATATTGTTTAAGGTTGTATTGTATAAGGTTCAATAAATATATGACCAACTGATTTAGGGGTAAGTTGAATATTTACAACCGAAAACCTTAAAAACAAACAACTGTACTACACATGTTGATCTATTAGAGAAATTGCTATAGTTAAGTTAGTTAAGTTTCTTTGAGTTCATGAAAAGTTGTGAAATTAATTTATTTATTATCTTATAATTTTATCTAAGTTTGGTAGTTTGGTTTTTTGAACCTACGGCCTCTGCTTGAGATGCGGTAAGTCCAATCGTTAGATTTTCACAGCTAAAAGGGCAAATATAGATGTTAAAGACAATAAAGAACCGACGGAAAAAGAGATGTTTGGACATCAGATATATCACAATAGTTTGCTTAAGAGCATGGAAGAAGGAAAGATAGAAAAGAGAAGCAAAGAAAGATCGAGACGAAGTTATTTAGATTAGATAAGGAAAAATGTTAATGTCGATATGATACGATATACCAGGATATCAAAGTCACTCAACAAAGATGGTTAATGATTTCTCCACCGACAAGAGCGTAAGCTCTTAAACAAGAAGAGAAAAGGACAGTCAGATGTAATCGTAATAATAAATGTAAAGACAGCTAGTACATGTCGCTACAGGTAATATAATAATAATAATAATAATAATCTTTATTTTACTATTACAAGGGTACAAAGTTTTATAATGTAATTTACATGAAAATGCTTAAATAATAGAGTACCTTTGCAAGAGACTGGAGTCTATACTAGGAACTAACCTGTGTGACAGATCTCCAGGCTCTCACCCAACCTGATAAAAACGTTTTTGAAAAAGCAGTTGCAATGTAAATAAATTACAAACATCAATTTTTACAATCACTGTAAGCTATTGCAGAAAAAGATAATATAATAATACTAATAAAATGATGATAATTTAGTGACGTAAGTACAACCAGTAAAATGAAAGAATAAGCTAATATGACACTTAAAAAAACAATAATAAAAAAAATGAAATAGAAGGTAATAGAACCGTCGACTTCTCAAATTGAGAACCAAGATTCCTAGACGCTTGTAGAGGCCCTGCAGTGGCGCTGCAGCTGCGCAGCTACTAATTTTCATACAATATCTAGAAACGCAGCTGCAGCGCACAGTCACGTCTCCCTCGCGCCTCTTTTGCAGACTTGATATTGTATAATTTGAAAGCGCCCTAAGGTTCATTTATAGAAAATTAAGGCGAGAGCGAAGAGAAGCCCCTGCTTCTATACCATACCATACCATTATTTCCCTAAATATGTTTTGCTAGATAAAATGGTATGTATATTTACTATTCAATAATGGTTTTATAAAAAATATACGATACACCTAAGAATATCATCTAAAGAATGTGCTCATTCGTGACACGAAAGCATGCCGTTTACTCGATCATTGTAAAATCCCGAAAACTAATTATTTAAGAATGAAATATATAATTTTGCACATAATATTTCTATGAAGATATTTCTCTTTAAATTCTTCAGAAAACTTGCAAAATTTTGGTTTTCGCTTGACGCTGTTAAATACACATATACTGATCCCAAAATTTGAAAATTGCTCAGCGGCTTAATGACACGCCGCGCTACCCGCTGCTACCTTGTCAGTTGCCATCGGGCGCTTGTCGACGTGAGATTTGTGTCAAATTTTCTCCGCCTGTTGTAATTTTGTACATATTCATTTTAAGCGCGTGGATTAGTGATGAAAGAGACTCAGTCGTTATACTAAAAGACTTAAACGACTTGTGCGACTTAAACGACTCGAGTTGTTTGCAATGGACTTATACCTATTTTATGTCTTATTAAGTCCGAAGTTTATAAATAGAATTACGTTTATTTAATTAGTTATAATTAACTGACTTCTGTGAATAAAGCTAGGTTAACGCTATCCATCAATCGTAAAATAACCGCTCACGCGATACATGCAGCCGTAGACGCATACCACACCTAGAGGTGCCGGTGATGATTTTATACCGATTTATCGGATATCGAAGTTATAACAGGCAAAAGAACTAATATTAATTGCTACTTCGGTAACTACTCTAGCAAACCATGAAGTTTTTAATGCCTGGATCTGTCATTTAAAAAAAAATAAACAACTTCAAAAATACGTCACGACAATCGTGTGTGTTATTGTTTGGGCTGGTGATTTCGGTGTTTATTTATTGAAAACATACCGTAAGTAATGTTTTTTATGTTTACCTTGAATATAAATGTTTATAAACTATACTTTAAGGAGTAATTTCATGGTAAACGTTAGAACCACTCAAACGGAATATTATCATATTTATCCAAGTACACCAAAAATTTCATTAGTGCTTTTTAAGTGCAAGATTTGCGGTATATTACTGCATTTTATTTGAGATGTTTTTGTTGGTAGTACGGATG